GTGTCTTCAGTTGCAATAATACCAAACTAACATTTCTGGAGTCCACTTAAAAGAAAAGCTATTCTTGCTGTGGATCAGAAGTAGACATTGAGTCATAAGGATCTGTTTGCATTTGTGTAGCTCTTGTAACTAGTCAGAGCTATGCCCTCGCAAGAGGTCTAGCTGCTGGAGCACTCACGGGTGCTGTGTGAACAATCTTCAGGCAAATGCCACTTTTCCTTTTGACATTTCAACAGTCTGAGGAATGCAGTGGGTGTCGGTGGGGAGTAATCCAACTGGCACAGCACTGTATCAGAACACGATTCAAAGGCTGCTTGTGTAAGTAATCAGGCACTTGTGTGTTATGAAATGTAGTGAATTATAACATCTGTAAATATTTCTGCAATATTTCTTGTAAATAGTGTTTTGTTAAGCTTTGTTTAAATAGACTTAATGAATTGGAGGCTCCCATTCATCTCACAGAAATCAAAGCCATTGTAGGAATGTGCCTCTTAGTGTCAATAAAAGTATATTAAGACCTTATTTTGGAGTGGTGATACTGAATTTAGGAATTGCAGGCAGTTCTTATGAATGTTGCATGTAGGCAAGTTTGCCCCATAGTTTTGGGGCAAGATTTGTGTTTTCTAGTTCAGATTTCTGGCAAGTCTGCCTGTTATTACTATATTTTTGCTTGGTGTTCACTGCAGCCTTGGGTTGTACTGACTGGCACTGTAAACAGGCTGGCACCTGACAAGCTTTCAGGAATCTTCGCTGTTCTTTTGAAGCAGCTAAAATGGAGTAGATATTTGGTAGGACAAGTAAAGAGAAATTTGGACTTTTCTTGCAGTGGCTAAGAGGGGCCAAAGAGGTTTGTAATGACCATAGAGTATGGGCCCTGCAGTAGTGATGCCCTGGGTACTTGGGTCACAGTGTTTCAGTGCAGGTTAGTACTAGACATTAGAGCATGCAGCAGGTTTGCAAGAGGAAGCTTCTTATGAGGAAATAAACTTGTAATGGGCTCTGTGCAAAAAAATTATGCAGAATGAGCTCTGTATGGTTTGATTTTGCGTGTCATGTTTATCTATTGAGACTCGGTTACAAAATGGTTAGTGCATCCAGAAGTGAGTTTGTCTGGACTTGATCTAAAAATTTCCTAACGCTTTTTTTCCTTTTTCCATTTCTCCCCCGCCCCCCGTCACTTGGCTGTTTGCATTAAGGAATAGAGGATGGCCAGATAGGATACATGCACATAGTCACATCGCCATCCCTCCATGAGCTGTAACTGTGCTAGTTTGATGTGTTATTTAGCATGCCATGACTGCTCTTCGCTACTAGATAAAGTATTGCCAACCCTATACCTAAAACACATTTACAATCTCAATTTTTTAAATAAGGCCTAGAAAGCATATACAGTTTGCCTGGTTTTGATGTATATATTGATCTTTAGCTTAAACTTCATCAGTGAAGTTTAGAAATGTACTTTTTAAATGACAGCTTATATAACAATTTTAGTAATTAATTCTAGGACATGGGGCTTTTAGGAATGTCAAGTATTGCAAGACGTGGGAATAAACTGCAAGAACTGGCAGTGCTGCTTACAGCACATGTCACAAATTTGGATCCTTATTGCAGCTTGTAGTAGTTAGTGCTTGAAGGCATTGCCAGACCTCACATGACGGCCTCTCAGCATCAGTCTTAGACCTCAGTTGTTGCTGAGGTTTGGTTAAGAGTGGGATGGTAATAAGTTGTCTTAGTAGCTGAGGGTGGGGGCTTAAAAGAATAATGACAAATATGAATTGACCCAGCGCTGACTTAAGGCTGTAGTAGAGTGTACTACTGCGTACTTGACAGGCTGGCTGACTGGAACTGTTATGGTGATTTGGGTCTAAGTATCTGTCATTGAAAGATCATTTTTGGGATGTTTAATTGTTTGAGTTTTGAAATTAGTCTGGGATATTTGGATTATCAGAGTGGCTACCTACCAGTCTTGGGTGGTCTTTGGTATGTTTGTCATTGGGTGGTGTGGTGGAAGTTGCAGACATGGTAACTGGAATCTTTCCATCTGTGAATAGAAGTAGTTAAAATATAAAAGTGGAAGTGGCTATTGGTCTTTAACAAGACGTCTTTCCTAAATTCATACAATAATAAAAAATTAAAGGTGTCATAAGGTAGCAGAGAATCTGCTCTTCTGTCAAAATTCTTCTTTCCTTGTGGATTCTTGGGTGTTTGCTAACAGGTGACCTTGTGCCAGAGCTGTAGTATGACTTGTTTTAAGAGGGCAGGTCATGAGAAATTGTCTGACTTTGATATCTATGTATATATATATGTCTACAAAAAAACCCCCCAAAAACCTAACAAGTCAGTTTGCTGCATTTGGTTGGAATGATATATCACAAGCAGCCTTGGTATTGTCTTATCAGTGGCATAAATGCAATTGCATGGAACTAAAATGCTACACTTAGCATTCTTGTGATGGATACAGCATATATTGACAAAACCATGCCTTTTGCTTTGGTATGCTTTAGTTCCACGCAGAAGTGGAAATGTTGCAACAGGAGCACAGCTATGTTGGTCACACATCCCATATTGCATTCCTTTGATGCATGTTTTGGAGAACGTTTTGAAAACCAATGAATTTTCAGTGTTCATTTCCCTTCACTGAAGTAGCTTTTCTCCATCAGTAGCGGCTCCTTTCTTTAAAATATTTTTTCATCAGCAAAGTTCTAACTTACGGAACAAGAACTAAAATTGGACAAACATAACTCTTGTCTAACTGGTTCTTTTAACTCATCTGGGGTGAATAGACAGGCAGGCACTTAAGCAGAATGAGACATTAACACTGGAGTGGAACAGGAATGTCTTCCCATACAGGCAGACCAGAAACATGCATCAGAACTAAAATTATCGTCCTGTATTGTTTTCATTCTGCCCTGGCTTGTTAGGACTCTTGAGTCCTTGATGAATGGGTAGATGTTGTATGACTGAAATTTGCAGTTGAGTTTGTATTCTGGAATTTAACCTGCTTTAGACCATCATTGAAATGAATAACTTTCATCTGTAGAGGCTTACGAAGCAGAGCTGATAACTTTGTAGAGAAATGACTTGCACTGATAATCCATTTCCTCCCTTGAGTTTCTTCTGAAAGTTTTATAATCTCAGTATTGAAAATGATAGACTTTTTGGCCAAGCTAAGAATGCTTTTCTAAATCCTGGATTAACCAGCAACCCAGCAGTTAGTGTGCTTCTCTGGTAGTAGGCAGTTCAATTTGTTGTGTTGGGTTTTTTTGATTTTGGTGGGGTTTTTTGGTTGTGGGGGGAGGGGGGTGTTGTGGTGGGTTTTTTTGTTTGGTTGGTTTTTTTGGTCTGTTGCTTGAATCTTAGTCCTGAACGGGAGTGAGTGCCCTGATTGAGACCTACCTCTTTTCCTTCTGATCAATTTTTGAGTCTTAGTAAGCAAACTGAGTGAAGGATAGACTTGAGTCTCAATTTCCAGCCTCATGGCCTCTGCTCAACTGCTGACTCTTAGGAGTTGGCAAGGAGGTTTAGCTACAGAAAATAGGGGGAGAGGGTTTTCTCGTTTCTGTGATCTGTGCTCTTATTCTTCTGTTCTTGAGCTGCTGCAAATAGGGCTGCTTCTCAATAGTGAATTAGAAGTATTCTGTTTTACTTCTCTATTAAAGATGGCTCTAAGTTTGGATAGTGGAAGTGGTCTAGGAGGTGAGGTAAGTGTAAATATTTTGTAGTCTTCTGTTTAGAAAAAGAAATAAAAATTTGCAAGTTTCTTGGTATGCAGTTTATCTTCGTATGTTAGGTCTGTATCAGAATAGACAGAGGTAAACTGCGTTAAATAAGGTGGTTTGATCCAGAGCGGCTCATTGACTAGCTAAAATGAATTGTATTTTTTTTCTTCAGGAGTTGTAGAAGGTGACTTAGCTGCTGTTGAAGCTTACAAGTCATCAGGAGGAGATATTGCCCGCCAGCTTACTGCAGATGAAGTACGCCTGCTAAATCGCCCTTCTGCTTTTGACGTTGGGTACACACTTGTACATCTGGCGATACGCTTTCAGAGACAAGATATGCTAGCAATTTTGCTTACAGAGGTGAGTTACTTTGGCCCTTGTGTAGATTGAATAGGAACCTTATGTAACTGTACCATTGTTTGCAGCCAGTGACATGTAACTTTATTTGCTAGAAGATAGGGGCTAATATTATTAGAATACATGAATTGCTGTTTTGTGCCTTTGTTGATGTTTGTACTTAAGAAACGAGTTTACTTTAAGACTGTATGTATGTGGTGGTTTTGAGGATGTTCAATTTTCTCCTTAATGAGCAGTCTTGGCACGCATTCTGACCTTACTGGCGGTGGAAGTGAGCTATTGTGAGGCTTCCTGTGCTTTGGGTGGGGGAGAGGAAATGCCCTGAAAGCAAAACACTGAGATCAATGACAGCGTAGTTTTTTCTGAGTTTTGTTAATGAGTAATCTTACCTGGTCTTTATTCCCTGGTTTTCTTGGGAGCTTCTCTTCTAGAGAAGGGCAAATTTCTTTATTTGCAAAATTGCTGCATTTTTTCCACTCTTAGCCCATTTTGTAGACTGGTTGGTTCCACTCTGTGGTCTCTTTGCTCTTGTGTGTTCCATTTCCTTGTATATTTTTGGACGGTCCACCTCATTTCTGGTGATCTTTGCTGCCCTCCTCCATCTTTGCCACCCTCCTCGGCCCATAAGTAATTCTGTTACCTTTTTTTGTCTGTGTTCTTCATCTCAGACTTCTGGTTCCTCACCTGATCAGAGCCAAATTTTTATTCTGCCTTCTTCCTTCTTTTGATGCTTAATGCAATTCTGAAAGCCTGTGTTCCTGAGAAAAGTAGCATGCCTGAGAAGTGCGTAAGGGTGATGGAATGCATAGGGTTGAGTAATTAAAAAGAGTAGAAGCAGCAAGACAAATGTAGCTAAAACCTTGAGAAGAGTATACGTATTTATATATAGCTAATATCAGTAGTTTTGTGCTGCTTACGTAGCTATCTGGGTGGATGGAGTTACATGTTTAAAAACAAGTTAATTTGCTGAAATACTGTCTTACAGTTTTTTCTGTTTGGTTTTGTTTCAGTGTCTAGGAATACTTACTCAACATACCATTTGTGAAAATGCTTAGTAGTGTTTGAGCCACAGTGATGCTTTCCTTTGCTAGGATATTAACTAGTGAAAATGTGTGTCCTAAAGTTTCGTGTTGTTTTTTTTTTTTTAATATATCCAGTGTCATCCCAGTGTCACTTGCCCTGTGTCATTGAACGAGTTCCTGCTGCCAGTGATGATTAGCATCTGGAGAAATATAAATATCTTAGCTTAACAGTGTTTGGGAAGATTCTTTGTAGGAAACTGTCTTGTGCTGTGGTAGTGAAGTTCTTTGTTAAATGTTAGACTGGGCATATGCACAAGATTTGAGGTATATTTCCTATTGTTATCTAGCTCTTATCTATTTTTTTTTGCTTTCCTTTTCCTGCGGAATTGGTCACCTGTTAATTCACTTCTTTGATTTAAAGTGGTTTTTAACCAGCTTTATGTTATCATAAACATTTAATCTTTCAGGGTACCAATGTTTATACTTCTGTTGTATTACTTACTAACAAAATACTGTCCACTGGTGGTTATCACTCCTAAGTCTTCATATTTAACTAGAAATAACACTGAGTGCAGTAACTGTGTTATGTTACAGGTGTCACAACATGCAGCGAAGTGTATTCCTGCCATGGTGTGTCCAGAGGTCACAGAACAAATTCGTCGTGAAATTGCTGCATCTCTTCATCAACGAAAGGGAGACTTTGCTTGCTATTTCCTGACTGACCTTGTAACGTTTACGTTACCTGCAGGTAGTTACAAAATTCTTCTTACTGATGGAAGATTTTTTTTTTGGTCACCTAGTTGAGAATTGCTTGTTTTGGATGTATACTTTGACTTTCTGATGGTGGTCGTGTGTGTGTGTATAAGTTTTATTTATTAAATTTTAATAGCTTAGGTCAGATCTAGTAATGGAATTTGCTTATTAATATTCAGTTTTTGCACGCTTCAACCCATATGTTGTTCTTGTGAAGTGAACATCTGTTGTCCTCTTTAGACAAGAGGAAATTGAAAAAAAAGTGGTGTATTCTATGGAAAGGCAGTGTTTAAAGTTAAGATTGGAGCCCAGAAGTTTCTGGGCTCTAATATGACTTTTCACATAGCTATATTAGCTTTCAGTTCTTTCCATTAAGGCCCAGAGCTATTCTTTGCATTTGTATCTGGTTATAGCAATAGCACTTTCTGAATACTTTTGAGGTACTCCATGATCAAGAGAACGTTTGTCTATTAACAAAAAGCTATTAGAAGATTTTAATCTTCAGTAGCTGTTTCCCTTAATAGAAGTGCTACCAGAAGTAAGAAAATGTTTAGATAGAAACTGTACTAATCAGCAGATCCATTTGTCTTTTTTATAAAGCAGTAGCATTGTAAGAGTTGTATTTGGAACCTCTTTGGTTGAGTGTTACCTCATCTCCTCCTCTTCAAAAAGTCTGGACAATATTTACCACTTGTCTATAACTAGCTGTTTGAGGTGCTGTGTTCAGTCTTATTCTGTGGGTCATGTATGAGAGGCAGACGGTGTGGGTGTACGAAGTGTCTAGAGACTAACACTTCATTGCATTTGGGAGGGGCAACAGAATGATTTTGGAACACATGAGAAATGTTGCTCTCGCCAGAACTGAGGAATTTGTTCAGTATTTTCAAGAGACACGTCTTAAACCACTGTGCAGCTTTTTGACACATGTAATAGCCATTAAATAATTAAGGAATAAGAATGTTCAAAAGCTTCTGTACATCAAGACTGTCAGTGTATTTCCACTTCCATCACACTTAGTCAGCTGAACATCTTTTGTAGTCAACAATTAGCAGTTGGTCTCAAGACAGCATTTCCAAGGATAGCAGTATAAATCACACAATCCTATTCAGTTATTACCTATATGATGTAGTTTAGGAACCAGTTTCCGCTCAATCTTTCAAACAAATGGATAGGATCCTCCTGAAGAGCCAATGCATAGACATTAGAGTGCAAAACTTTTAAATTGATTGCTGGCCACTATAAGCCAGTTTTAGTTTAAAAAGAACAATCATACAAAAAAAAAAAGAAGACCACCCCACAACACCCTGCCTGCACCAAACAATAGTATGCTTCAGTAGCAACTCACGTGCCTAAATGTGGACTTCACTTCTAGAAACCCTCGGGTGTTGGACAACTGAGCAGGATTGGCAGATCTGACACTGGAATTATGAGAGATCTTCATGCCCTTGAAATACTGCTTAGAAGCCCAGTCAATATCCCCTAGACTGCCTGAAGGGATACTAGATGTTTCTGTTGAACTATTTGATTTACTCCCTTATTCAAGTTTCAGAATTGTGCTGAAGCTAGCAAAGTTTCTCTAGTTGCTGATCTGCCTAGCAACCCTTTACTACTTATGCTGTATTGAAATGCAGGCCATGAGCAAATCTTTAAGGTTGTAGTAAATGTTTGAGTTTTAGAACATGTGTTTGTTGTTTTACATGATACAGGAGTCACAAGAGTTTTGCCCATTACACAATTTTCTTCCTTTTTTATTTTTTAGTAACAGTAGATCCACAGTGGTAGATCCTGTCTGTAAAGCTCTTGAAACAGTTGTCAGTAGTGGCATTTTCCGTGTCCTAGCTCAATAGTTTTCCCGTTTCTTGTTTTCTAACCTGCAAACCGTGGCCTGCAGACTGTTGGGGTTCTCTGAACTGTTTTGTTGAAGTCTGCATGAAATGAGTAAGAAAGTGGGTGTTCTGTACTAGAACAAGTCTCTTGGCAAACTGTACCTGTCCACTGGGGCAGACTGGGGAGGGGAAGTCATTCAAATGGGTGGAAAACTACAGTTTAGGATTGATGCTGTCCTAAATATAGTAGGGTTGAAAATACTCTTTTTTTTATTTTTTCCACCTCAAAGTGGTTCTCTACTTCACTTTCTCCTTCAGAGAAATCCATTCTTACCCTACGTGTGCTGTGACGATCCTTTCTGCATAAAAGGTATGACAGTCAGTCCAAGATACGTATCTACTTCAGTGTGCTCTATGAAGCCTATGGTCACAAATGGCAGATCTGAAAATAATAACTTTTCAGAGGAGACATTAGGGATGATAGGGTGAAAGCTGTTGCCTAAGTTCTCCTGAGCATCAGCTGGTAATGTGTCTCTCTTTACATTAACGTTGTTACTTTTGTATTTGCTTTCTATTTTTCCAGATATTGAAGACTTACCACCCACAGTCCAAGAAAAGTTATTTGACGAAGTACTTGATAGAGATGTTCAGAAAGGTAAATGAATCACAGAATGGTTTGGGTTGGAAGGGACCTCTCAAGGTCATCTAGTCCAACCCCCCTGCTGTGGGCAGGGACATCTTCAACTAGATCAGGTTGCTCAGAGCCCCATCCAGCCTGACCTGGAATGTTTCCAGGGATGGGGCATCCACCACCTCTCTGGGCAACCTGTGCCAGTGGTTCACCACCCTCAGCGTAAAAAATTTCTTCCTTACATCTAGTCTGTATCTACCCCCCTTTAGTTTAAAGCCATTCCCCCTTGTCCTGTCGCTACAGGCCTTACTAAAAAGTCTGTCCCTCAGTGCTCTGAGAATGGCTAGAATCTCTCCTTGCTTTTCATTAGAGAATATTTCTGTTATTAAAAAAAAAAAGTGCGTGTGTGTATATATGTGGCTTTGTTGCCTGAATTTGTTTTAAATACAGATTTGATACTTTCAAGTTAATCTTCACTCTGGAATTCTTTTAATTTTAACATTTACAGTCTATTTATGAGGCAGAGGGAGAATGGAGTCTGTAGAAATTACATTTGTAATGTATATTTGAATTTTAAAGATTCTTAAAGCTTTACAGTTTTAAGTCACAAGCTCTTTAAAGAAAACTGAACAAATCTTTCCACTTCAGTAATAGTCCTCAAAGAAACGATGTGATGCTTTGTTTAAGGCTATGGTTTGTTTTGTTTTGTTTTTTTTTCTTCTTTTCTTGACAGTATTTTGCCCAAGGAATGCCTTTAGCCATTGTAGTTCAGTTATTTTTGTAGTATGAAGGAAAACATAGTTTTATTCATGTAAATGGGTAAATTGTTGAGATTATGCCATTACCGTGCTGTTCAGATTCTCTGAGACTTCAAATGAATATAGGTTTTAAAGGAGGTTATTGTTATGTTGCAGAGCTAGAAGAGGAATCTCCCATTATTAACTGGTCACTGGAACTGGGTACGCGCTTGGACAGCAGATTATATGCACTTTGGAATCGGACTGCAGGGGACTGCCTGCTTGATTCAGTACTACAAGCCACTTGGGGCATTTACGACAAGGATTCAGTGCTGCGGAAAGCTCTTCACGACAGTTTACATGACTGCTCACATTGGTAAGTTAGTTTTTACGTCAACTTTAAAGATAGCTTTCCATGTAGCTTAGTAGTTGATAGTAATATTGTATTAAAAAGAAACACAACCACCACTCCCCAATTTACTGTGGATTGTGTGTCTCAAAGATGTTGAGTCACAGTGTGATTCACCTAGTAATCTAGATCTAGTGTATTTTAAATGCCAGCACTGGAAACTTGGACATTCTGAACTTGGTGATGGTATGTGATATTCAGCAAATAGCATTTAAAACGGAGTAAAATATTTTATGCTGTGTGCTTGTCAAGAGTGCGCTAACCACAGTTAAGACTGGAATTTACTTGCAATGTAAATCATGCACATGCCATGCCTTGCTGCTGTTGGTAGAAGCTTTGCAGAAGATCGTTGATAGAAGATAGCCTTTTATTCCTGTATAAACTTTTCAGTATTTTCATTCCATCTGCTTAGTTACAGCTTTATTTGGTATTGCTCTTTTTGGTCCTGCTCTGTCTGCTAAAGTAATGGCAGTAAAGCAGAGCGTTGACATTTAACTAATGCTGTCATTTGGCCATAGAATTAATTTATCATTCTATAAAACAACTTTTGTTGTTTTACACTGGCAACCTTCTTTAGTCTGATACTGTGGTTTGCCTCTGCTAGAGGAAAAATGCTTACAGTTGGACACCCAGCGGTGTCTACCAGCTCTCAAGTGTGTAATGGGGCTAAGGGAAGAGGTTGATAAAGACTAATGATGTAAGACACAGGTGATTAGATTTATGATGTTCTTGTAGTCAAGGACAAGAGAAACACCATCAGAGGCATAGTAGCAAAAGAGCCTGTCCCCTTGCTCCATGTGCTGTACAGGAAGTCAACAACAGAGGTTAATTTTAGGGGTACCTCTAAGTAGCTTTTGTGATTACTGTCCCCAACTGCCTGCTGTTTGGAGAAAACTGCTGAAATTAGCACCCAGAGCTGGATTCCATAAAGTGGTGCTTCAGTAACAATTCTCCCGAGAACCTGTCTCCAAATGGATCTGTCACTATTGAGTTGTTTATAATGGAGCGTGCATCTCAACCATGCGGGAATGTCCCTGGCATCACAAGCAGTTCCCCTGAGGCCAGAACAGAAATTTATGATAGATCAGGTTTTGTTCTTAATGGTATCCAAAAACAAGCATGGTATCCAAAAACAAGCTGCAAACTATTGAGGTTTAAACCAATCTTGCAAAATGTTAGTGTTAACTGTTGTTGACTCACTGTTGTATCTAATGTAACACTCATTATTTAGAGTGTATTAAATCTGGTTAAGCTTTTTAGTTCATGTTCTAGACAATTTGCATTTTACTCTGAATTTACTTAATCTTTATCCTTATTGGAAGCACTTTTTTTTTAACTGATTCATGTGTTCCTTTATAGTTGTTTGAATACAGTTGCCTACCTTCAGTCTGGATAATCTTATTTGCTAGTTTGTCATCGGAAAAATCAGTAGAAATCTTTAAGTTCTGTCATAAATTGATCATCCTGTACATCCTATACTTGCTGTACAGATTCTCTGTTGGCCAAGATACATTTAATTTTGTGGGATAGGATATGTAGCAGATAGGAAGTGACATTGTCGTCATTGGCTTTAACGATAGTTGCTGAAGGAATAGGCTCTTCAATGCAATCACTAGTCTCAACAACATTATGCTTAAACTTTTATTTAATCCAGTTGTTCTTCAAAGCCTTCACAAAGACACTTAAAGGGTATTTTTACAGTCAGACACAGAACATTCATGTAACTCATTTGGCCTCATTTTGTTATGTTTGTTTAGATGCTGAACAAAGAAGAATCTATTTACTAGATACAGTCTAGTGTCTGGTACTCAGCAAAAGCTCAATAGTGAAGTTCCCAGAGGCTCTGGCCTGTGGAGTCTTTTCCACTCACCTTTTAAATGACTACAATTTTTGAGTTTACTGATTTGTCCCTTTTTGTATTCCACCGTTAGCTTTCAATGGAGAACGGGCATATGCCCTAAGTTGGCTCTCAGAATTTTATTTTTTTTTAATGGATGTGTTCAGTTCTCTTGTGTTAAACTGAGAAGTTTGTTTTAAATGAGATCAAAATCTTAAGCCTTGACTTCTGTCTACAAGGCTACCTCCTGTGAACATCTACAGATAACTCTGTCTACGGCTGACTAACTCAAAGAAGAAACTTCTTTAGGAAAACACTTCCACAGTAGAGCTTTTGTGGGGTGGGGTTTTTTGGTTGTTTGTTTTGTTTTCTTTTTTTTTAGCAGAATCTGATTAAATGTCTTTCAGGAGACCTAGTAATTAATTCATTTAGCACAAAGTGTTTGGTTAGACATTTCTGGAGAAAAACAGACAAAATATCTATCAGCTGCAAAGATGGAAGCAGTTGATGTATTTGGATAAAAACTGGAATGTAGATAGATCCAGAAGACTCCCTGTAGATGTATTACTGTGAGTAAGCACATAGGCCTATCAAAATGTCTTACTAATAGGTCTTTTAAGCCATGCAAAGGTTTTAGCTTACTTGGGAAAGCCAGCCTGGTTGGTGACAGCTGTCATAGACACCAAGATTTTAGGATGATTACATCTTTACTGAAAGCATAGGAAAGGTTTCTTCCACACACACTCACTGTCTATTAATTTTCTCAGATTTTAATTAAATGAGTTCATTTCAATGACTCTTTTAATAAGCTGAACTTCAGAATGGTTTCTTTGTGTTCACAGTGAAGGCCATTGTTTAAAAGTTGGCTTAGCACTCTCCACTAAACCCGTGTTCCTAATGTGAAGTTGTGGCCTTTCCATAGTGCGGTGACTGGACTGAGTTCAAAATTTTAAAAAGCCAGCATCTGCTTTTTAATGTGTAGATCATTTTTCTTTGTAATTGATTAAGAAAGATAAAACATCGGGACTAAACTAGCGTACAAAAATGCTAATTTTAATTTAAACAGAAAAACAGAAATCTTGTGACTTTAAAACTTTCAGTGTAAATTGGATTAATCCCACTTTCTGTATTTGATTCTTATCCATGCTGCTTTATAACTATTCCATATAATGTGAAATTACCATACTCTTTGCTCCAAAAAGTGATATAAAACAGAATCTGCCTCTTAACCATGGTCTATTTGAAGTTGATACGCAAGTACTTTGGCGTTAATTGGCTCATGATATCGTCAACAATAGAGAATACCTGTGTTATTTGTATAACAAGAATGAGCAGCTCCTCTTATGTGACATGGAACATCTTGGTTTTGTTCCCTGTACATCAACACTTAAATAAGCCTAAATAAGGCTTCAAAAAAACCCTATTACAGCAAGTATAAAACTAGCCAGTTCCTAACAGCCTGTTAGGAACTTGCATCTATTACAGCATGTTTGCTGTAAGCATTGCAATCCCAAGTGATTTCTTAAATGAGATTAGCAAATGGAGTCTCCTGAAGATTAAAAAACAAAACAAAACACGGTTTTATTGATGTATGCTCTCTTTCTTCCCCTTCTATTATTACATTACAAGGGTTGAATATTGCTATCAGGTGTAGGATGGTTGAGTAAATATTTTTGTCTTTACCGCTCTTTCTCTCTCTCTCTCTCCCCCCCAGAGTGGGAATCGTGGTATTCCCAAAGCTTTGGTTTACATTTCTCATTGCGAGAGGAACAGTGGCAGGAAGATTGGGCATTCATACTCTCTCTTGCGAGCCAGGTAAGAAAGCTTCTTTATAAGGTGGCTGTTAGAAAGGACGTTTTAATCTTTCTGAAATGAAATTTCAAAAACTCAGTGTTCTTCAGGAATAAGAATTTTCATGTATAAAGGAAAGCATTCCTCTCAAGTCAGCAATCTTAAAGTATTACTGGGTAGACTCTTCCTGCCAAGATGGAAAAGTTCGTTTAAAATTCAAATTTTTGAGCTTACCGTTAAGCAGTACAGTACAAAAAAGTCTGTTTCTTTTGGTGTCGGTGTAGTCTGTAGAATTAACTCATATGCAATCGTCTATTTAATGTCCTGCTTCCTAGCTCCTGCAATACTTACTTCCTAGAAGATACCTACAAATCTGTAAGCTTACACTACTAAAACTTCAGCAAGCTGATATTTTATAACTCCCCTCCAAAAGGAGATTTACATTCCTATAAGCTTCCAACTAAAGGAGTATTTTAAAGTCTTCTTTTAAAGCATAAACATGATTTTGGTGCTATTTTCTTGTGATTTGTTTTGGAGGTGCTCTTTTCCTATCATCAGAAGGTATTTACCTTAACCTTTCCTCAGATGAGTGAATTATTTTTAGACTAAATGTTATGTAGAGTTTCACTTCTAACTGGGGAATGAAATATGTTAGATTGAATCTGGGCAATAGGACAAAGAATTATTACTGACAGATTAAGTTCTTGTGCAAGCTGAAATGTTTTTGCTTATTTCCAACTGATATGTAATAGTCTTGCAGTCTCACTTTTCCTGTCAAAGATAGATCACTCTTAAAAAGATTTTCTCTCTCAATTCGGAGACTATATTTCAAGTTTCAAAGCAAAGAATGGTAAGTTCTGTTTAAAGTGTTGTCTTTCTTTGTATTTGGTTCAGCCTGGAGCGAGTTTGGAGCAGACACACATTTTTGTACTTGCACATATTCTTAGAAGACCAATTATAGTTTATGGAGTAAAATATTATAAGAGTTTCCGAGGAGAAACATTAGGATATACCCGCTTTCAAGGTAAGCCTTTAGTTTTTCAAATTTAGTTTTAAAAAAGGTTCAGCTATAAATCATAAACATAAAGGAAGTTGAAAGGAGAGTGACATTAAACTACTATCTCAGAGGATGGAATTATGTTGTAGGTAAATTTTCATTAGCTATTAAAAAGAACAAAACAATCCCCTCTGAACTTGCAGTTTTTTATTGTATAGTAGGCATGCTGCTTGTGGCCACAGTAAAAATGTGTTTTGACCTCCATTCAACATGCCTTTAGTCTATAATTTATGTAAAATATTCTGATTGTGAAAACTTATCAAAAGTTGTGTGGTTTGTACTGCTGTAAGACACAAGAGGTTTAATAAATGGAATTTGAAATTCCCTTTGCTTGTGGTACTAATGGCTGTAAAAGTTCATTTTAGAAATGAAACTGTATTTAGCGTTTCCTGAAGGAGGCTCATAAAGTTGGGGGCGAGGCAGGCAGAAGGTGTTTGCATTGGCATAGTTTCTCACCAGAGCACCAGTATCTGCTGGGTGCTCTTTCAGGACGAAGGGGCATGCCTTGTCACCCGGCAGCACTGAAGGAGGTGATTTGTGAAGCAGCCCTTAAGAGCAGTGAAAAGGAGTCACCCTTAAAGCAAGCAGCAAGGGTATACAAAGAAGGGTAGAGAAATTAAAGTAGCGTGGAGAATGATAAAGTTGATTTTTTTTTTTTGTAGTTGATTAAAGTAAAAGAGGTAGCAACTTGAATGAATGCCGTAGAGGCTGAAAAGGAAGGAATTCTGTTCATAAATGCTCTGCCAACAGTTATTATGTGAGGTATAAGATTAGGTAACTTAGTTACAATTACAAAATATTGGTCGACTGATAATGTAAATCTCACTTTCTGTAAAAGTGAATTCCATGATATAGTTAAAAGGAAGTTTTTAAAATTTATCTGTGTTTCAGATACTTTACACCAAGTGTGATGTAAATACCGACCTATAATTTTGCATTGCTTGATCAGGTTCTTTCTGACTGTTTCTCTTCCTAGTCTTCTGGGCAAACAGCCTAGCTGTCCTTAAGATAAATACTAAGATGCTTAGCTGACTCAGACCAGTTTTGCTTAGACGTATGTTTGAATACACATTTCTTTAGAATACACATTTCTAAAGATGTGTATTCTATTTTGCAGGCCAAATACGTGTTTGGGCGACTTTCCTCTGTATTAGATGCTAACACTTCAATATTTGCCTGTCTACAGGAATAAAAACATAGGAGGGGACTGGGAGCATCTGTACATGCTCAGCAGTAAACAAAACCATTGTGGAAAGAACTGATCAGGCTCTGCGGCTGTGTTACAGGGTGTTGGGATGTTTCTTTTGCCCATGGTTCATCTTCCTTGCCTCAAGTATATCTGCTTGACTACTACCCTACAATTGTTCTCATCAATACATCGGTGTTTATTTATGGCTTAGTCGAGGACTTCCTGAAACATCTCTTAATGTGATTTTTAAAAAAGTACACTAGCTTTGGAAGGTGGCAAACCTTATATAGAAGAACTCCAGGCTGTGGAGTTAATGTCAAACGTGTAACCTATTATAACTATTTAGAGTCTTCAGAAAATCTGAGCAGCTGTTTGGCTTGTAAGTTTGGGGCAGTGAAAAAACTTCTTTATGTGAGGAAATTAAATACTTTTTTGAAGAGTAAAAAAATTTGGTACTCTTTGTAGTTGCATGTTATCTTTTATTTGAGATGATGAAAGGATAGACTGGGAAAGAACAGTTATTCATGTGATACCAATCTGACGCTTCAGGTTTGTGTTGCTTTTAACTGAAAGGCTGAGTGGTTTGCAAAATGTTTTTATTTTATAGATTGGACATTGACAAGTGACAAGTGTTATGTGGCCTAAATGTGCTGACATTGTTTTCTTGCTCTGTGAACCAGAAGGTAACCGGGTGTCTGGGACAGCCTTTTGCTAGACATGCGTTTCCAGGAATTTAGCCAGACAAATATTTATGACTTGTGATTTGCCTGCCACAAGCCGCATCCATCCATCCATAGAAACATGCAACACTGAACAGGTGAACTTAGGAGTCCTGTGTCAGATTACCTGGAGTTACTTCTATCCTTGTCCAACCACACTTTTGTGGTTAATGTGTGCTAATTAAATGCTAGCAGCACAGCTGAAACCAAACAGCCATTGGACTCAGAGTAGTATGGGCTGCAAGTCTCTTGTAAATGGTACAAGACTTGCTGTTCTAGTACTGAGTGTGAGCTTTGCTTAGCACGTGCCCCTTGGGTGAAACTTTGAGGAGTGCTTGGGCTTCTCCGACTTGTTGTATAGCACCCTGCCTGTGTTTTAAGATCACATTAACCAAAAAAGAAAGAGGAAAGATTGTGGGTTATAATAGAGATGGGGAAATGAATTTTTTTAATGCTTACTTAATGTTATGGTTCAGTTCATAGCACCTTGGAAGGTACTGTAAACCCCCTATCCGTCCCCAAAATCTTCTCCATGATCAGAATTTTTTTTTCCAGGGAGTCCTTGTTCCAGTTTGGCATCCTTGCTGTAACTGCTGTGAATCCCATAACTGACAGCCTCAGAATCATAGAATAGTTTGGGTTGGAAGGGACCTCTCAAGGTCATCTAGTCCAACCCCCCTGTCGTGGGCAGGGACATCTTCAACTAGATCAGGTTGCTCAGAGCCCCGTCCAACCTGACCTGGAATGTTTCCAGGGATGGGGCATCCACCACCTCTCTGGGCAACCTGTGCCAGTGTTTCACCACTCTCAGCATAAAAAAATTATTCCTTATATCTAGTCTGTATCTACCCCCCTTTAGTTTAAAGCCATTCCCCCTTGTCCTGTCACAACAGGCCCTGCTAAAAAGTTTGCTGCCATCTTTTTTATAAGCCCCCTTTAAGTACTGATAGGCTGCAAGAAGATCTCCTCTTCTGAGAAGCCTTCTCTTCTCTAGGCTGAACAACCCCAACTCTCTCAGCCTTTCTTCACAGGAGAGGTGTTCCATCCCCCTGATCATTTTCGTGGCCCTCTTCTGG